CTCGCCCGCCGCCCCGCCGCCGCCGCCCTCTTCGCTGCCGCCGCCGTCTCCGCTGCCGCCGCCCTCCTCGCTGCCGCCGCCCTCCTCGCTCCCCTCCTCCTCTCCGTCGGCCGCCCCAGGCTCGGCTGGCGGGGGGCCGATGCCGATGAAGAAGGTGAAGGCCTTCAAGAGCCATGGGGTCTTGATCAGGCGCCTGGAAATGGGGGCCAAGGTTGAGGGGTGGTGGCTGGGGGAGGGGCACCTGAGGGCCCCGACCACTAGGGGAGCCGGGGCTGCGGACAGCCACGGGCGTGCGGATGGCTGCGGCTCACCTGAGGCCGCACACGGGGAGGTGCTGCCGGCCTCCCCTGCAGTTGTGCGCATCGGATCGGCGGGCGGCCCCGCTGCCCGCTTCCGCGGCACCTGACCGCCTCACCCCATGTCTTGGGGTGGAGGCCTCGGCCGCGCACCCATCAAAGTACCCAAACGTTTACGCGGCGAGCACTCCAACCAACCCACAAAAGCTCCTCTGCTGAAACGCTTAAGCAGCGGGTTGTGTGCTGCGTGCCAAAGTCCCATACCTGACTGAACGACGACACGTGCACACACATGCGCGTGCACACACACACACACACATCCGCACACATCCATACACATCCACATACATCCGCATGCACAATCACACTTTCACACAAACACACTCACACACACGCACACATAATTTGCATCCCGTCGTGCCGTAGCATGATCCTGCAAAAAAGAGGTTATGACGCAGGCTCGTAAGCAAACGTGCCCTCCACCAACGCCCCGTCACCCGGCCCCCACCCCTCCCACCCACCTGCCGCCCTGCGTCCTGGGATAGACCACGGTCCCAAAATACCAGACGTGGCCCGCGAGGATTCCAAAAAGATCCGGCAGCGGGCTCGACCCCAGCACCACGGACATGCCCATTGTGGCAAACGGCACCCAGGGTGCCGGCAGTGTGACGAGCCCGTTCAACCGCACCTGTCGGGTTTGAGAGGCGCGTGCGCGCGCGCTCTGTGTGCATGTGTGCGTGAGTGTGTGCATGTGTGCGTGAGTGTGTGCTTATGTGTGTGCGCGTGTGCTTGTGTGCGCGCGCGCGCGCGCGTGTGTGTGTGTGTGTAGCACGCGCTTGTGTGGGGGGTCTGCGAGGGGCAAGCTGCTGCCGGGATGAGCGTGGCTGGGTCGGCGGGAAGGGCCGGCCAAGCTGCAGGCGGCCCCGGATGCAATACTATGCGGCGCCAGAGGTTGGGTAGGAGAGGCCAGGGGCGGCAGGTTGCAGCAAAGGGATCGAGGTGTTGCAAGTCGTGGGGTTGTGATGAAGGGGTGGGGGGGTTGGCCTTTGCAGACTGGGACTATTGGGCGGAGCTCCAGCAGTTTGGGGCGTGCATAACTTGGGCGGGCAGGGCGTTGTGAGAAATCGTCCTTGGGACAATGGGGCCGCAAGGGTTTCAGGGTTTGATGCCGGGGCGCGAGCTCGCATAGAGGGCTGCCATGAGAGGATAAAACAAAAAGAAAGAAGATCATTCTTGGCGCTCACCATCCTGTCGGGGTGGGATCGGCTCCAAACGTAGAGCAGCATCATGATGAGGGGGTCGGCCGTGAAAAACAGCGGGAAGCCCAGCAGGGAGGGCACCGCAGAGAGGAAGGCCGCCCCCAGCAACAGCAGGAATAGGAAGTCTAGCGGGCGGAGGGGCCGAGGGTGGTCGGGAAGGGGGTCATAAGGCCGCGTGCTTGTGCAGG